TTTTCAGTTGAGTATAAATTTTGGAAAGACACTTTCTCTAGAGGGAGTGCTGTTGAAATTTTCTTAGTCTCAAGGAGTTAGATTCTATTTTGATAGAAAAAGTATTGACAATCCACCCTGTACAGGGAAAATGCTATCGAAGTTTTTCTATTTTTCTCTTAGCACTTACTTGAAGGTAGATTTAGATTTTGGCTTAGAAGAAATTTGAGTGAGATGTGATATGGGGGTTTGTTCTCCATACATTTATAGTTTAGTTTGAGGATTGGTCTGTGTTGTGTTACAGGTCTTTTTATATCATTTTGATTCAAGTTCTGACCAGTTTCAACCCGATCCTACGAGGATTGTCTTCTGTTATCTTTTGATAACAAGTCGGTTTTTAGCTCTCAACTCTAACTCATTCCCGCTACTCAACCTAAAGGCCTTATCCCCTGTTGGGGCTTGTGTGGATAAGGCAAGGGGTATGAGTGCAGAGAGCGGTTGAAGTTAAGCCCGTGTAGTGCGTGGTTTGTCGATGTTGAATCCTTGATGTGATTGCATGTACGTTTTGTGAGTTGAAATTATGGTTTGACTTTGTTTGCGATCATAAGTACATTTTGAAGAGAGTCACACTGTGATTGTGAGAGTGATCGCCTCGTGTCCCATAACCCTATTGTATATATACAGCCTCCTGATGAGTCGGTGAAACTCCGACGAAACAGTTTGTCACAGCCCCTCGTTTGTTGTCCTCTTCTCCCTCTCTGCCTACGGTTTACCGGGCAGTTCTATTTGACGATATTTATATATATATATATATATATATATATATATATATCTGCCTACGGTTTTACCGGGCAGCTCTGTTTGCGACGATATATATATAAATATATATAAATATAGACATATATAGTGTACACACGCGGTCTACTATGACCGTGCGTAGTGATTAAACAGATTAGCTTTGAGAGAAAGGAAGATTCATTTTTACCTTCTGCTTCGTAAAGATTTTATAGTTGGACGTTAAGGTCCGTGGCGGCTATCAAAGTCAAACCCCTTGACCTGTTTCCAGACCCTGGATGATGGAGCCTTATTTCAAAGGTCGGAAGCGTTTAATCGCCACAAAGAGCCAAGGCCCACCTACCACTCGCCTTCGCAGGGTGCAGAAAAGAGTAGAACTCGGAATCACCTTCGTGATTGTCTAGTGACGAGAGATTAACGCCTCAAGTCGCGTGTCAGCCGACACTTGAGTATCGAAAGCAACCGTCAAGATCATTGACGACCACATGATTATGAGTACTACATAGTACACCATCTTTGCGACTACTAGCGTAATCATGCATGGCTAGTCGATATGACAAAGCCTACAACATTGCGATATTCATTTAAAGTCTTGCACATGTTTTTTTGTTTATTTTATTGTCAAAAGGTTATGGGCCGGATACAAAAAAGGACTAGGCGCGATTTACGTGTGAAACTCGGTTTTATTGACATGGTGTATCACGTGGTTAGATGGATCGTCCTGGTCAACCGACGTTGAACCTTGCTTGGGACATCATCCCCCAGAACGTCAGTTTGCGTGCGATTAAGGCATCGCCCGCGCGTAGGAGAAACACCCTCGGCTGGGACACCTCTGCGATTGTAACTAAGCAGCTTTCACATGTGGTTCGACAACTCGACGGGGGATATGCCTGTCCAAGGGTGGTGATAGCCCCTTGGGCAGAGGTAAGTTATGCCTCATGTGACCCCTATCTTGTTGTAGGGGTTCGCGAGAGGTGCGGGTGGTGCACTCAGTCGGAGCAGCGAAAGCTCCACTGCGAAGGAAAAGTCATGCAAAATCCTGCGTGATGCGGTCGGGAGGGTCCCCCTGCGGGACCGATGCGCTCTGCAGTGGAGTGGAGGACTGCTTGGGTGAGGAGGTCTAACCAGGTGTTGACATCGACTTCTCCTTCTTGTTTCTCCTTCAACTTCTGTCGGATCGCCTCCCCTTCTTCTTTCAACCTCTTCTCTTCTTCAAATTCCCTTCTCCTTTGTGCCAGCATCCTTATATTAATTTCACTCTCATGGTCTTGTATCAGGAAGGGTCTTTCACGAGAGTCTGCAGCCTGCAACTTAGCTCGGAAGGCTTCCAACTTCTCCTCCATTTCATCGACCAGCCACTCCTTGAGAAAGCCAAACTTCGCCAGCCACTCATGTGCTTCATCATGCTGTAGCTGGCTGCTCTCCCCTTTTACGTACTGTCCTACCCCTCCTCTCCGCTCGTCTTCTTCCTCCAACACTTTAATTTCTTCTTCCTCCACGATCTTCCTCGCCTCTTCTTCCATCTCCTTCTGCATCCTTTCTTCTAACTTTTTTATGCTTCTCCTCTAACTTCTTTTTCTCCTCTTCCATTTTCTTTTTCATCTCCTCCTCCTTTCTCAGCCTCTCCGCCTTGCTGTCTTTCTGTTCCGTCAACTTCGCATCAATTTTGGCTTGCTCCTTCGGGGTATGCAGCTGCGTGGACCTACCGGATCTTGACACCACGCCCAACTCGAAAGCATGGCAGAATCCCAATCGGAAGAACATGCGAAGGAGGGGCCCCCATATCACGGTGAGGGCCAAAAAAACGAACATAGGGTAGTCATCCATGGTGAGATCCGGACACAGTAGGTATACTCCGCCTCCTCACCACGTAGATCCAACCCTCAAGACGTACTTACCTCAACACTTACGTCTAATCCTAACCTCGATCGGGGTCTACTAACTCTACAACTTCTACTTCCCTTCCCCGCGCTCGTCACTACACTCCCCTGGAGAGCTGGTGGCCAACCACCTGTTTAAGGTCTGCCAGCACGGACCTCAAGAATTACTTAACGACGCAAACAGGACGTCGTGGCCACTAGATGCAGGTTCATTCTGAAGACTTAAAGCCCCTCACCGAGTCAGCACCAATTCGGTCGCATGCCAGTCAGTACCGGTCTTAGGGCTAGACAAGTTGTTTTACGAGCACCTGCTGTTCATGCCCATGCTCCCTACTCTCGGGTTATACATCCAGTTGCCGAGCATCTACCTAGTGACCTACTCCCTTCATTGCGTAAGCTCTGGTTCAGGGCCGTGCCAGTCAGTACCGGTCATTGGGCTAGCTGGGTTGTTTTACGAGTGCCCACCGCTTATGCCCACGTCCCCTACTTCACGGGTGATTCATCCAGCTAATGGGTTCAGTCAACATGCAACCTCAACACGTAGGACACACAAGTGATTAACCACCTCTCGTAGGACAAGACTCAAAGACTCACAACAGCAGACATCAGATGCGACCAGAATGACATCAACATAAATGATTGATTGCAGCAGAAGTCACCAAGAAAGTTCAATGAAGATTCACAACAAAACAAAAATAGATTGCATGAAAGATAAGGGTCAAGGCAAGAAGCACTTCACTAATCTGGATGACGTCCTCTTGATGTCGCTCCTCAATCGCAGGTTCGTGTGCCGCTCGCCCTTTCCAGGCCACATCTACTTCGGTCCTCACTCCAGTCAAACCCCGATGTTCGCCTTTTTTTTTTATCCCCGCCGGCCTTACTCCTTGCCAGCGCTGCTGCTCCAATCAGATGTAGCGGGATCCAGCTCTGATACCAGTGCAATGATTCACAAGTCGTTCACACTCGACCTTGCAGACACATACAATGAGCATCCAGATGAGTATTCACACTTGAAACCCATAGCCGAGACACAAGAATCTCACGAGAGATTGATACGCAAAATGTCTTTATTATACAAAGAAAGTGTTTAGGTCTCTTGCGGTCTCAGCCGCTCACACAGACTCAGCCTCGATTCAGGTATGTAACCGTCTACCCCCTTCTCTCTCTCTCTGCTCTCTATCTCTCTCTGGTCTTGTATCACTCTCTCTCTCTCTCTCTCTCTCTCTCTCTCTCTCTCTCTCTCTCTCTCTCTCTCTCTCTCTCTCTCTCTCTCTCCCTCCTTGGATTGTGCCCTGAATACACCAGCTCAGTCCAGACCCAGACCCTGGCGGCTGTGGCCGCCCTGCTTCCCTATCACTACCCTATCTATGGCCGTCGTCGACGCTCCCTTCTTCTTCGAGCGTTGTCTTGCCCAAGTCGCTTGGTCACACAAGCAGCAGCAGTGCTTCTGCAACTTCACTAATGAACAACTGTGTCCGCTGCTGCACTGTAGCAGCTAAATATAACTGGACTTGGACTTTCCGGACTTTTCTGTGGGGTACTGGACTGGCTGTACAACGACTCAGCCTTCTAGACTTTTTCTATCGGGTACCGGACTGGCTGTACGATGACCTGACTTTTCCGGATGTTTCCCGACTTAGACCTACGACACTTCAACTGGCCTATCGGACCTACTTCCCATGACACTGGGACTTGGGACTTCAGAAACTTCTGGACTTTTGGGGATTTGGTGCCGGCTTTCAGGCGTCTGCAGCGTGAAATCGTTTCACTTGAGACGTGCACGGGCGTGGGGTGCAGTAGGGCGCTGCATGGAAGCAGCACCATAGCCCAGCCTTCATAGCCAGGCTGGCGCTTGAAGAGGTCAGCGGGGTATGGCGGTGGTCCTTGGATAGAGAGAGAGTGTGGGTGAAGAAGACGAGGGTGGGCATTGAAAGGGTGAAGCTGAGAGGAGATGTGAGAGCACGTACCTGATACGGGCGGAGGTCTGCATGGTCGACAACTGCATGTACCTTGGTTGCTGCTGCTGACGTCAACGGGTTGCTTTGTCATTTAGTAGGCTAGAGTAGCAGCTGTATGATCGTAGTCTCGGCGCTGAGTGCCAGTAGGAGGATGAGCTCCGAATACATTGTTGATGGTGGCAAGGGAGGGCTTATATTGACAATTGAGTTTGATGCTTTGGTTCTCCTTCCGTGTGATATCAGTGCATTTCTACTTTCTGGACAGCTTACGACTATCTGGTTTTCAATGTGATTTTGCAATCTGGAACTCTGCCATTTCACTATTGGTCATTTTCCTTGCATAGGGAAAAAAAAAACAAAAAAAGATCGAAGGGTATGATCAACAGACCTTGACAGATGGGTCTATCCGCTTCACAGTGCGCGCCAAGTCATCGGATTTCGCCCATAACAGACAGTTCCTGCAGCCTGCCCTCCTTATCTGCAAACAAAGAAATGATATACCTTGTAATCAGGTTCAATGGTGATGGCAGAGCCTTCAAAACAGAGAAAAAATACCCTTCAATGAATCAATGGTGAATCGTTGGTGATTAATAATCTCACAGTCCGTTTCTCCCCCTTAACCCTACCCCTCCCTTTCTGCCTACGGTTTACCTGCCAGCTCTGTTTGACAATATACTACTCACCACTGATGGTACAAGCCTTCTCATCATCCTGTTTTTTGTTGTTTTTTTTTCCCTGTACGGTTTGTTTGTTTCTTTGTTTGTTTGTTTTTTATTTTAATTTTATTTTTTTCAAAGGGCGATGGCCTTGAAATGCCATCATCGAACTGACCAGCCCTAGGCAAGTCAGAATTGTAGTACTTCACTCGTCTGCTTCCAGTGGAGTTCGAACTCAGGTCTGTACGGGTGCACCAACTGAGCTAGGCCAGTTGGATGTTGTCCTTGTTGTTGTTTTCTTTTTCTTTTTCTTTTTTTGTTTTGAATGCAGGCTGCCTTCTCCTCATATGGGGGAACGAACAGCTGCATTTACTATGCTATTTTAGTATTTTCTTCTCTCAATATTTTCCATCTCACACTACTGTGAGGATTATACCCCTCGGCATACTCGTGTACGGCCCCTGCATCAGGCGCGTGCCCGCCCTAAGTGAAGGCGGGCCCCTGAATGTCAATGAGCCCTGAATTCGTCAATTTTTGCAAATCTTTGTCTGCGCCAGACAGTTGCCAGGCGCCAGTTGGTTACATCCGCCTTGCTCGAGAGTCTTCTAGGCTCTTCCAGCAATGTGGCGAATGCATGGAACACCACACGTTTGTGCCTGAGTCGTCACACATGCCCAACCAGTTCGGTCCCAGGCCGCTGTCTGAACGGGCCTGGGCGCAGACACTTTGGCCGAGAGTGAAGCTACTTGAAACTCGGTCCCGTAAGGCAAGGCAGCAAGAAGCGAGCCCCGCCACTTTCCATTTAGGAAAGGGCCGGGCTACGCAGAGATCATTCGGGCACTTGCTTGTGCAAGCGGCAGTGCTGCTGGAGCGTGCACTCGTGGGCTGCATTGTGGCCGCGCCATAGCTCAGCCCTTCACAGACGGGCTGGGCTTGGAGATGGTCAGCGGAGTAAGGTGGTGGTCTTCATGTGAGGGGGAGACGTGGGTGAAGAAGACGAGGGAGAGAGAGAGAGAGAGATGAGGGAGGTGAGAGCACGTACCTGGTCTTGGCGGTGGTCTACATGGTCGACATCTGCATGTACTTCGGCCGCTGCTGCTGACATCAACAAGTTGCAGGTCATTTCGTTGCTAGTAGAGTAGCTGTGGGATAGTAGTCTGGGCGCTGAGCGCCAGTAGGAGGAAGAGCTATGATTGCATTGTTGGTGGTGGCGAGTATATGCTTTCATTGACAATTGAGATCAATGCTTTGGTTCTCGTTTGGTGTAACATCAGTGCAATTCTGCTTTTCTGGACAGCGTTCGACTATCTGGCTTTCAATGTGATTTGCAATCTGGAATTCTGTCATTGCTCATTTTAGTCGCACTACCTACCTCGGGCTGTGTACTATTTGCTCTCCACCGAGTCTCCAACGACTTTTCTGGTTTGATGTGCTTTGTCCAGCAGGAATAGTGAAATGTCCCTTGCTCTCAGAATTCGGATAGAGTTGTTATTAATACTCGTTATCACACCAACGGGATGGTACACCCACAAACTGTTGAAATACAGACCCGAGTTCGAATCCAGATGCAATCAGATGAACAGACAAATAATCCTGCATTACTTGGGGCTGGACAGTTCAAGGATAGCTTCTCCAGGCTGTCGCCATTTTGTATTTTTAAACTAAAAATTTGTACAAAATAGTAAAATACTCCCTAATGTCCTCATCTCAAATTTGTGTTCATAACTTCATATCGAATGGACAGATTTGGATGGAGTTTTTTTTTTTTTTTTT